AATAATTTGATAATTTGAATATTTTTTTGGAATTCTCTTCTCAACTAAATAATCTTTTTACTTATTATTACTAAAGACTATGAGCAAATTAAAAAGAAAAAATCTCTCTGACAATTAAAAATTTTTTTTTGCTGTTTTGTCATAGGGAATGTATGCTCATTGGAGAGACAGAGAGAGAGAAAGTGAGAGAAAAGTGATAAATCACTCCCTCACCTTCTCCAGGGATGGCCATCAACAATCCCTTCTCCCCCATTCTTCCCCTGGGATTTTGTGCATATACACACACGTACCTAGCATGATTCTCAAGCCACCAGGTTCAGGACTTGAACCACAATCAGTCCTGTGGGAGTCTAGCCCTTCAATCACCACACCACTTGATGGCTCCTTCTTGGACAATTTTTAAATTGATGATTGTTAAATCATTATAAAACAAAATATAATTCCAAAAAATATACCTTTCCTTAGCAAAGAATCACTAAATTAAGCTTTACTATTATTTCTCTTATAAAATGAATTAATGTTTGACTTGTGGATGTAAAGCATCCCATAAACCAATCACTTGAAGTCTGTGGTAACTCTGTGATATTTCCCCACAGAATGCTTTTAATACTAACAGATGACTTTCCTGTATTTTCTCCCAGTAATGATTATATGATGGTGTTAAGAAAGCATCAGGCAGAACTGAACAATATGGGACTACCATTGTGGGAAAAGAGTTCTTGTTTCATATTTAGACCACTCCTAGGAACCACGGAGAGTCAAGCAGCCAGGGAAGGAAACAGGACAGGGAGCAGGCCTAGGGGAATGGCTGGAAAACAGAAGGGAATGGTAGAGGTGGGTCTTCGCAAGGCACTGAGGAGATGTCATGCTCTACATCAGACATCTGTCTCTTTCAGAACTTCAGGCATCCATGCCTCAAACAGAGGGGAGGGAAAAAGCATTAGAAAATCAAGCACAGTACCTCGTTATGGAGATTTTTTTATTCTAACAAGGAATGCTGCACTTAAACATAATGGTGTTTGCTTTGTACAAAACTGAAACTGAAACATTTGTAAAGGTTTCTCTGTACTGTTTCTAATCTATAATTTAACAGATTTGTTCCACCAGAACAAACATTTGCTGAATGTCATGGAAATGGTTTTGAAAAGTAAAAGTGTCAGCAAGATCGCCTCCTCACACAACACTTGAACACAGCAGCACCTGGATGCTGAGCACAGTGACCCACCCACGAAATGGGCAGTGTTTCAGACACAGGCAGCTTCTCCGTCGTGGTTGCATTCTTTCAAACAGTTTTCTCTTTTTCTTTCCTTAGACATGCCCTCAGACTTTGCCTCTTACTCTGCACAAGCGAGAGGCATTAATCACACAAATCTACATGCCCATTTGTCCAGAATTGCTGCTTATGATCCATCCTTTGAATAACATAGACTCCTGACCTTTCAGATCAATAAGATGAATGATAAAGGCCAAGACTTGTGGTTTACATCTTCGTAGAAATTGCCATCTCCTCGGAGTAGTTAAAATAAATAATTCCTTTAGTGTTATCCATTGCCTCCTGCAAGCGATGTTTGGATGTGTGGGAGCCAGACAGTACTGCATCTCCTTACCTTTGATGTTTGGGCTTGTTTTGGGGCTGCTCTTTTGACAAGCTTTCAAAAACCCCCTACTATGAATGTCGAATTAAGTACCCTTATGAATATGCATGAAAATAAACCTCACATACTCATTTTGGTGGCTACTCACTGTGCTGGGTTGCCCTGGAAGCCATTCCAAATGGTTTTGATTTTGCGTTTGAGATTCTTAATGGTGGTAATTATCTGTTGCAGCCATGCAGTACCAAATATGATGCGTGTTAGAGATACTTTAAAAAATAATAATAAAAACGACTAAAGATGCTAATTCCCACATTTTAGTTCCTACAGGGCAATTAGCCCCTAGTAATGATGTTTATATTTATATGCAAATGTTTCAGGAAAAATGAATCTTAACAGAGACTTCATATCGATACTATTGGGAGATGAGAGCATTCCATCTGTCTGTAGAAAATGCCTGCCATTAGCTCTACATGTAGCCTATTTCTGTAATAGAAACTATTTAATCTTAAGTAATTCATTCTTCATTTTGTGTTATTTTCCCTTCCTTCTGTTCTTTTATTAAGACTCTTAACTAATGTACAGTATGTGCAGCTCTTCAGGGCCTACACATAGGTGCCTTGCCACATTTTCTTCTGAGTATCATCTGTTCTTTGAATTATTACCTGATGTCCTCACCATTCCTCATTTTGGAATAATAATTGAGTAACCAAAGCAGGCTTACTGAAGCACTTACTGGTTAATAGCCTCTGTTTTAGGGATTGTGACAACATGCAAAAACAGAAATACAATGGAGAAGCCTGTTCATATGTAGTTCTACATTACAGTTGGAGTTTTTGGCTAGCTTCTGGCTAATAATTGAAAAGAAAAAAAGAGAAAAGAAAGTAAGAGAAAAATCCCTTCTTGTGCATGTGAGGAGACAAGCTTCGAGGCATTTTATGAACTCTGTTCATTCAGAATGGGGGAACAGGCTCACTCTAGAATCACCCTCCTATTGTGAAACTGTCTATTCTAAAATAATATTTTAATATGGAAGATCTCATTGTGGCTATTCATTTCTTCGGTACTCTCTTTGTTCCTATAAGACATTCTAACAACCAGTTGGCTTCAGTCATGTTACTGAATATACTACTTATCTGACCTACACCCTTTATTATACTTTCCACAGACCAACAAAGCAGTTTCTGATTAGATCAAAAACAGATCATTTCTAAACCCATGAACATATTCAGAACTATCTATAGAGGATTACCCAATATTGTGCAAAAGCACTTCAGATTTTAAACTTTAGGTTGATCGAGAAAAAAAAAAAAAAGGAGTGTAGTAAGAATACTATGGCATTTTTATACCATCTTTGTAATAAATATTCCTTTCAGAATAGTAAAGTGCAAAAGAAAGAGTAAATTGGTTGAATCATCTCTACGTAACCAAATTCAGCAATATGGTAATTACCAAGAGCTATCCACATGGTAAAAGATGTATCCACTTGACATCTGTATACACACTTTTTCCTCCTTAACCTAGACAAACAAGGAAGCAAGCCATCCCCCAAAATTTTAAATGAGAACTAAAATGCCGCAAATAGCACCATATTTCAAAACACAGATGCTCATTGTCACTCACTGTCAAAACCTGGAATGAAGGAGTCTGGGAAAGGGAGAAATTCAGCATCCTGCCCGTGGAAAAATCTCATTAGAAACTCTTGAGATTTATCTGTCACTCTGACAGGATAATTTGATTTTAAATTCCATCACTGCTAGCCCTAATTTTTAAAATTAAATTGAAAAAAAAAGTGACTTCTATTTCTCCCATATAATGAATAATAGCATAATATAAATCAAAATCAAGGGTGCCATTAATCAGAAATTACAGGGGAAAAAATTCTAAGAATTTTAGAGTTTGAGGGAAATAGAAAAGTCTCCCTCCCTCAATCTCCACTCACCCATTAACGAACTGGAATGAAGATCAGTTAAAAGAGATACCTGGTAAGGTTCAATTTACAGCTTCGAAAATTTTCTTATCAATGCAGAATGTTAACACTTCCTCATAAAACATGGTCTCTTTCAAAAGAGTAGCACTTTTTAATCCCTGTCTTGAACCCATTTAGTGCATTCTTACTATAACTTGTCCCTAAATGAGAGGGTTTTTAATACAGTAGACAACACAGAGTCACATGAGTCACATGTGATAAGCATGCTCTTATTTCAGGAGTATTATAGTTAGTCCCCAAAAGGGGCTCATCTTATACAAATGTTGCCCCTTCTCTTATGCTCTCAAAGGACAAATTCACATTTTAGTGCCAGTGACTGATGTATGTCGAGAAGGTGATGTAGCTGAAGATGGTTGCTTGTGTTTTAGTCGTATTTCTGTGTAGTATCTCAAGATTCAAATATTATCAGTTCCAGAGCAATAAGTAACTCATTAAACCAAATACAATTACATCCAGACCAAAATGGAACACGATGCCATATCTGGAAAATTGCTTTTTTACATTCCCAGGTGACACACTTCACACACTTTCCAAATATTAAAATTTATATAGAATGAGGATTTAATGTCAACCTGCTTGTTAGGAAATCAGGCTCACGAAAGGTGAACTGCAGAATTTTTTAATATGAAGTTGAGAAGTCAGGGGTGCCTACACTTTTAGCCTCCTTATTTAGCAGAACCAACTCTGATTGGCTCAACTTCCAATAGGGCTCCTTCCTGGAACGTTTACGTCTCTTTAAGGGAGCCATGTTTCTCACGCCTTGGTACTTGTCACTGGAAGCCCTACTTCCAAGCTTCTTCCTGACAAATTTCCTCTTCCTAATAAATGATCTAAGAGACGAACTATATTCCATTACACATTAAAACATCATTGTGGCTTCCTAGGAAGTAGGTCAAGTACAAAACAGCCTCTTCTTTAACTGAAACTGAGAAGCAAAAATGCTTCCCACAATTTAGGTTTTGCATACTTTGAAATATACCAGCTCCACTATCTGGGACGTTAAGAAAATTAAATAATTTAGTATATATTGGGTTGTTGGAAAAGTCATGATGCATTTTTGCATAGAAAAACATGTATGACTTTTCCGATGACCCAGTACATATTTGTCAAGAGGTGCTCATACTCTTGATTTAGTAACATAGACAGATAAGAACTTTTGACAAAGCTTTTCGATATGTAGTAGTAAATAGGTGTGTATATTCATGTATCTGTGTATGTGGGAGGGGGTGTACATGTTTGTGTATCATATAAAATTTTATAAAATGGTAATAGCCCTATACCAAATATAAGTTAAGAAAGTTTGGGTGAGAAATGCAAATTAATTTTATTCCTGCGTATTAAGAAAAATCACACAATAATTATTTTAAATGCTGATTTTGTGTAGTGCCCAGGTTTGAAAGTTTAAGGAAAAGGCATACCTTACAAAGAGAAGATTTCTCTCCAGATCAGATGATTACTCAGGATACCTCTCTGAGTCTTCATGAACAATGTGGTTTTCACAGCAACCTCCACCTGTTACAAAATTTAAAGTTAAACGAATTATGATAAGTAAAAATTTTACAAATTTTTTATTTCTATGTCAGTAAGCCTTTTTAAATGTCAATGAATGCACTCAGGATTTGGGGTATAAATCGTCCCTCACAATTTTTAATTTTCTTTTTTTCTGGTCACTACAACAAAACACAGATCACAAAAGGTAGTATGAAAATAATTGCCTAAAGATATATACTCTTAAAATGCCTTCATCAGAGATGTTCAGCGCTTATTTTCAGGAACAAACTCCTCAAAGATTTCACCTTCACCCTGAACGTGGCTGTGACAAGCCAGTCAAGGTCCACCGAATCCAATTAGAGCAGTTTTCTGGGAAAAGAATTGTGCTTCTTGACAATATTAGGGCAAACTACTGTGAGGGCTGTTTTAACTTTAAGAAGAGCAGTGGTAGCTGCAATCATCTTTAGTCTCTGCCTAAAAACTATGTCACAAAGCAATGACAAGCACAAAATACCTGTCAAGAGCTATTGGAAACAGCTATTGGTTGTTCTGCCCTACACAGCTGTAGATTATATATGCATTCTTGCATAGAATGAGGACACAAGACACCAACTTGGGGGTTGGAAATGGTCAGAGCGGTGATCAGAGACAGCCCCATTGTCTGTCTATAACCTAAGAGATGTTGATGACCTGTGAATCTTATGAAAAAGTATTTAAAGTATATCAATTCAGAGACCTGAGGTACCCACTTTTCCCTCACTCCATCACTTCGATAAACCCTGACAAATCTACCTCCCAAATATCTCCTTGTTTGTCTCTCTCATTACACATCTCCTGTGGTTTCCCACGTGATCTGATTTTGCACTGGCAAAATTCCCATAACGAGTACCCCTTCCTCTCCCTACCCCACATCACATTTTGTTATCTTCCTAAAACACAAATAACAGACATTCCAACTTTTGACTTATTTCACGTCAATAGATTACATTCTGAGAACCTTAAAGAAAAATATATTTCATGACTTGGCTTTTGCCTGTTTCATAGACTCATCTTCTCAGTGTCTCTAGCCTTTCCCAATTTATTCTGAGCTCCAGCAGTACCATGTTTTGCATAGTCTATAATCATGTTCTGCATATATGGTTCAGTCTGCCTTTTCATTCAACTAGAAAAGTTTTATTGTTTTAAACTTTTAAAATTCTTAACAGATCATGTATACATGCATTTACAAGAGAGGCAGAGAGACGTCAACATCCTCCATAAGGTCTAATCATAGCATAATCCGTCTCCTCCAGTCCCTTAGCCCACTGGATCTTGGGCATTTTCACTATGCTCAGCATGCTTTATGCTGGTCAGATGGGTGATTTTAACCACAGTGAGAACTGGCTGCTCTTAAGCAGTTCACTGCTGCAGCATTCTGGAGCCATCCCATGTAGAAGAGCTTTAATTGCTCTTCTAAGCCTTGCTTTGAGATGTTTCCTTCTCAGAGGACTTTCCACTTTTATCTCCTAAAGGATTTAGTCACCCTCTCCTCTAAGACGCTTCTAAGCTATGTTTGTTAATGTACGTGACTGTTCGGATATCTTTCATCCCTACTTGAGTGAATCATTTGGTGTAAGCCTCGTATCACCCTTCTTCAGTTTGAAGTGCCTGGCACAATGCTTGATCTACAGAGGAAATGCATACTGGTTTTAGTAATCAGTCTTTTCAGGTGCTTTCTCATATACACTGGAAATATGAATTTCTCAAGTCAATACTCAGTATCTCTAATGCTCAAAGATCCTCTGAACTTAAATCCAAATGCAGGGCGGTAGGCAGATGATGAGACCCTAGTACTCTGAGTCTTTAATTGCACACAGAATGTCTTCAAGTGACTGTATCACCTCACCTTCGTCATACTAAGTCTCTGAAAAATGCTCAAAATAATCACCAAATAGAGTTATGGGTTCTCTAATGCACTTTAAAAGAAGAGTCATTGGATTATCATCCTTGGTTTCAACAAAGAATTTATTTTTCAAGTATTCATCTATCCTAAAAGGCCATAACTGATTGCATGAATGATACTTTTATAGGTTCCTCTAGAAAGAAGAAAAAGAAAAGGAAAAAGATTGCTTTATTGCCGAGAATCCATTGGCCACTTAATATACATAGGAAAGTCCAATGCATAAATTTCTTCCTCTCTGGATTTAATCTCCACAGCTACTACCAGATAGATATTTGTTCCCATTACATTAATATTTTGACAGCTAATATTTGGTAAATAAAATCAATGAAACATCTATGCTGGGTTTTGTTTGTCCATGTTAAAGGAGACTGACTAGAGCCTGTCACATAATTATACCGATCCCTTTACCTGTTATCACATGCTGGACACGAAGCTCTAATATCAATACAAACTGCATTTGATCAACGTGCAGGAAGAATACATAGACACTCTCTGGTTTTTGTAATGCTCTTTTCTAGCTTTCGAAATTGAGTGGCTTTAAATAATCCTCCTGAAACTTCACACCTCACACCCTTCAAAGCCCAATGCTCACACATGGTAGCATTAGAGGAAGGATTATTAAAGACCCCCATTGGAACTGTGGCCTATTCATTTTCTGTGTAAACCGTGGGGTTCCTGTGCAGACAGCGATGTGCCAACACGAACCCAGACAGCTGCTGTACTAAAGCTGCTCTGAGTGCAGGTGGGGAAACAGCTTGTGATATTAACAAGACTAGATCCTTCTTGTGGCTTTCTATAGCCTTTATTTAAAATACAGAAAAATGCTTTCAAAGACTTATTTATAACTGTATCAAGCACAGATTGCACCAACATTATGCTGCAATGAGCACATGTGTTATTCATACTGATATTAAGTATTTTTCTTTTTGAAATAGCCAAAAAGAAAAAAAAATTAAAAAAAAATTTCCTGAAGATGATTTCGGATAGGAGCTACTAAAACCATATCAACAAAACTAACTTGGATGAAAATAGCTTTTTCAGAATGTAAAAAAAAAATTATGTAAACAAACAAAAATATTCGGTGTGAATAGAGAAATTGAGACACAAGCAATGAATTTTTGAGACAAAGGTTTAATGGATATCACAGCTGTCGCATGCATTTTTTTCTTCCTTCATATAAAGATTCTAATTAAATTAGACTCCAATGTTCCACATCACTGTGGGGTTTTAATTTTTCTTTCTAACTCCTCAATAAACCTTAACAAAGTTCTTAATATTGAAGGCTTACTCATTGCTTCCTTTGAAGCTTTACTGCTCCTTCTAGGTGCCACAGCTCTATTAAATATTATAACCAACAGAAAGATATACATGCTATCTTGTTGACATTAAGGAATTGATACTTTGGAAAGAAACAAATGTTTCTTGAGTGTGGATGAGAAGGGAAAAAAGCAATAGCGATAAAAAATGGTTGTGCCAAGGGACACAGGCTCTCCCATTTCCTAGGTATGCAATCTTCAGAAATTTACTTCAACTCTCTGATCTCAGGTTACTCATTTTTTAGGGCAAGCATCAAACCATCCTCTATCTTACAGTTTTCCCAATAATTGGATATCTTGCAAAGAAAGTACTTTTAAGTATTGGCGCATAATAAATACTGAGGAGGTAGTTGTTACTGTTTTATGGTAATTTAGAGGAGGTGCTTGCAGATGATAACTGACTACAGAGTGACACGTTAGAAAATATATATAGTTTTGGGACCAGCAGGTGGCGAGGTGGTTAAGAGGCTGGACACTCCCACCTGGCCCACCATGGTTTTTGAGTCCCAGATCTAGTGACTGGCTTTCTCACTTCCCCTTCTCTCTCTTTCTGTCTCTCTCTGGTCAAATTAAAATAAATGAATGACTAAATAAAATTAAATAAAAAGTAATTTAAAAAAGAAAAAATATATATAGTTTTAACCTTCAGAGCACTGTAAATATTTGATGTGGGAACAGAGGGGGAAGAGAGTATCTCTGATCTAGGAAAATACTGAACAAAGTTTATGAAACTGTGAGTGAAAAAAAAAGATGCTTTTTAGAAAATGAGAGAGGAATAGCAGATATATTTGACAGGTTTGAAGCTTTACTGCTCCTTCTAGGTGCCACAGCTCTATTAAATATTATAACCAACAGAAAGATATACATGCTATCTTGTTGACATTAAGGAATTGATACTTTGGAAAGAAACAAATGTTTCTTGAGTGTGGATGAGAAGGGAAAAAAGCAATAGCGATAAAAAATGGTTGTGCCAAGGGACACAGGCTCTCCCATTTCCTAGGTATGCAATCTTCAGAAATTTACTTCAACTCTCTGATCTCAGGTTACTCATTTTTTAGGGCAAGCATCAAACCATCCTCTATCTTACAGTTTTCCCAATAATTGGATATCTTGCAAAGAAAGTACTTTTAAGTATTGGCGCATAATAAATACTGAGGAGGTAGTTGTTACTGTTTTATGGTAATTTAGAGGAGGTGCTTGCAGATGATAACTGACTACAGAGTGACACGTTAGAAAATATATATAGTTTTGGGACCAGCAGGTGGCGAGGTGGTTAAGAGGCTGGACACTCCCACCTGGCCCACCATGGTTTTTGAGTCCCAGATCTAGTGACTGGCTTTCTCACTTCCCCTTCTCTCTCTTTCTGTCTCTCTCTGGTCAAATTAAAATAAATGAATGACTAAATAAAATTAAATAAAAAGTAATTTAAAAAAGAAAAAATATATATAGTTTTAACCTTCAGAGCACTGTAAATATTTGATGTGGGAACAGAGGGGGAAGAGAGTATCTCTGATCTAGGAAAATACTGAGAAAAGTTTATGAAACTGTGAGTGAAAAAAAAAGATGCTTTTTAGAAAATGAGAGAGGAATAGCAGATATATTTGACAGGAAAGAATAAATCTGTGGAAAGCCTTAATTTTAGATTGGTAAATGGATATAGAAGAGGGACATAAATGAATATAGTGAAAAACAAATTAGAAATAATTTTCTATAGAGCATTATTACTCAATCTTTTACACCATATAATTAAAATGGAATAATTG